TCACTACATGAATTCCTTGTTATTCCCAGTCAACGGTCGTGTTCGCATGAAATTATTATTATTATTATTATTCTTGGTGGCTACACACATTTCTAAATGTTGCGCGCTACACACTAATCAATCAAATAATAGAACCGCTGTGACGCTGTACGATAGCCACGTGGAATGAATAATTATTTTGAAGACATTGTAATTCGTATACGAAGTTACTGACCAAATTAAAAATATGTTCAACAACTTGTATGCAACAAAAAATACCCGTTGCCTCGAATGTTTTCCGGTACATGAAGAGTATGGTTTTTATTTTGCGATCATAATTTTAAATGGAGTATCAAATATGTGTTATTATAGACCGTAGCAACATTATTTCACTGTATTAAGTACATTATTTATATCATTTTTTTTTTCCAGTTTAACCGCAAAACGCACACTGAGTAGGGAGAATACTTGTTATACTTCCCTATAACACTCACGTGCACACACATATATATAAATACATTTTTCGCAGAAAATATATTGTAAAATATTAATCGAATAGCGCCAATAAAATAAATATAAAATGCCAAATATATTTTCAACATTATTACATTACATTCATGGTTTATCAGCAAAAATTCCTAATTGAGTTCAAGTAAATTAATCGAATAATGTACCGGCTCATCAAAATTTTAATATTATTATCGCTTGCATGTATAATATATGTATAGCTCGTTACTCCGTACTCATAACTCGTATAAAAAATAACTATAATAGTGATTATCACACTGAAAGCTTAAAATAATCTTAGTGATGCTGTACATTTTGTATCGTTAAACTCTTTATTAATTAGTTTACCAAGTTGATAGATGAAGGAAACTAGTGATGATAGCGCTAAACCTTTAGGCTCATAAAAAAAAAAAGCTCGGAATTCATTAATACCATATCGTTAATAATTTATTATTTACGTAAAAGTACGGCTTATATATATGCTAAAAAAATTAGACGCTATTCGGTCAATCTGTTTGAAAAGCGAAGATCGCGATACGAACGTTGTCATTGAAACTATGCATGAAACTCGTCTAAAAACTTTATTTTGAACGTAATTTGAAAAGAGTATTTATTTATTTTTTATGGAAATTAGTGTGTATATAAAATGAAAATGTTTTGTCTTATTTATTTTTATACTGAAACGGACAAAAATGTATAAGCACATTTTACTCCTCTATTCGTAATACTTTGAAAGTTTACTTTGATTACTCAAGAGATATTATCATTCACGGCCTTGTTTCTTTATTTATTAATGCATTATAGTATTGTAATATGTTTGGTGTTTTCCTACTCCATTATGTCAGTACACCATCAAAAATGTTTTATATATATATACGATTCAATAATTTGGATATCACGATCTCTGCTCAAACTGTCACACAAATTGTGAACAAATCGTTCGTAAAAATGCTAATTTTTGTCGGTTTGCGTTCCCTTTAATTTACATCGTCCTTACAGGCAACTGGAAATAATGTGGTACATGAAGGCGAGTCATTTGTTACAAGTGATGGTTTTAACCAATTGGTGCAATGAACTTACTCGTATATGTTCATTAACTAAAAAAAAAAATGCCCATTTTGATATTTTGCGTATGATAACAACGTAGATTCTACATATATGATCCGAAATTTGTAATAATTTTTTTAAACCATCCAAAGTTTACTTTTACCATTAGGTCATAAACGAGACGGAAGTACATGTTCACATTTAATTATTTAATTATTTATAGGTATGAGGTTTTATATATTTCCTTGACTCAATCTTAAAAGTAAATATATATTATAATATACAGGTACACATTAAGGTTATTGTACTAGCATGTAATACATCGTCATATAACACGTGTATACATACATATACTTTGATAGTTTAATTTATGTATAATAGGTAATAACTGAATAACTAATAACTTTAGGTATATCCTAGTTGTATTAGTAGCAGACAACAGTAAATTTATACTATATCAGTTTCCCCGATTCTAATTAGGGTAATTCAAATTTGAAATTCATAAAATTTTGAATTAGGTGTACTTGAAAAATGTTGGATTCTTAGTCTACTTTACATTACGATTCGTTTGTATTCATTTTATTCAACACATATGATATAATTCTCATTTTTTTGTTTTGTCACATCTACGGAATCGTAAATAGAACTTTTCATTATTGCAAGCACACTGGTAATAAATAAAATCTAAATTAACTTATCTCTTTTAGTATAGTAAAAAAGTATACATGGGTTTGAATCAATGCGATCAATTTGAACACAAAATATATTTACTAATAAAATGTGAGTAATATATATATATTTTTAATTCATAATAAATATTTATATAAATAAATACATTTTTATTCTTATTGGTTACATTATAATTTACATACCGAAACAAATTTAAAAATAAACAATTAAATATTTAATATATTATAATGCATTTGATATTATTATCACAAACAATATATACAATAATACATTAATTATTATAAAATTAACATATATATATATATATAATTATTGTGTTGACAATAATAACACGTCATACATAAAATAATTACTTTAGAAATAAGTAAGCCTTTCAGATGTTTTAAATTAAATTGGAAAATTATATAATCACCTTTAAAGTTCGGTTATAATTAATGCTGTATACTTATGTAAAATAATTGTAATTAGTTAATTTGTAAAATCATACTCAAATTAATAACTATATTGTGTGATTAAAATGTTTCCAATATTTTTAAATGTAAGTAAGCGACGACTGTTCAGTAATCAATTTTGCACCTCGAAACGAATGCTCGATACCAGCAAATGTTAGCCATTTACTTGATATTTAGTTACGATTCGTTGATTGTTGTAATTAGAATAAATCAGTTATGATTTAAGAACTACCAAAACAAAACACGTGATTGTGTAATTGATTAAAAATACAATGATAAACCGATTTTTCAAGTGCAATAGTTGTCATTTTGATTACCTTATTTATATTTAGAACTTCGTAGTCGTTATATTATTCCTAATATTCGTCAAAGCCCATAGGTATAATGTTGTGTTAAGCAACTACTATCTGAATATGATACAAATACGTTCTACGTTTTAAGAACTGCGTAAGCAAAACCACGCGTAGTGCATGCATAGGGTTATGGACTTATGAACTAATACGTACATTTAAAATAATATTTCGGTTTTATCGGTTGATTAACGTCATCACGTGTAATGTGTGCGCGTTTGCAGAACGACAGTGAGAAAAGAATAACATTAAGCCTCGTGTAGGTTTTATCCGTTAGTAAGTCGTTCATGTCATTCACCCTCGTTGAAATCGAATTCTTAGAGGGTGAAACTTTCCATCGATAGTAGTAAAACGAAAAAATTAGGGTATACATTTAATTTCAGATCTGATGCCGTTTTTTCATAGGATCAAGTTGTGTTTTTCAAGACAAGAAACAATAATGGTTTCACCTTATCCAGAATCGTATTTCAATAATCTTACCTTATGAAGTGCACCCCCCTTTAGGAGTACCATTGATTCTTAAGATCACCTCGAGTTACATGTTTTTAAAACATTTTATTGAAAAATGTTATCCGTTTATGTAATACGAAAACAGTGATTGTAGTAAAAATTGAATAAATAATAACTAAAGATAATTGTTGTCGTGTAAATAATACATTTTGTGCTAAGCTACAAAAAGCGCTAAATGTTTAAGAAAAGAATCATAACCATTTCTTCAATAGTTATTGATGCATCGATCTAGTATAACTATGAAAACCGAAGTTAACGATTATCATATTTATATATATATATATAAATAAAATCTCGTGTTGGTACATCATTTTCATTGCAGTGCAGTGATCACTTATCAGTAAACTCCAATTATCGTTTTAACGGAAGATATTTGACGGTAATCCGTTGGAGCGCTTAAACATTTCTTGCTCAAGTCCAATATTAAGAACTCTTTGTTGCCGAGGAGAATTCAAGTTCAGGGCACGGCGAACACACCGAGGTGTTGAACAGTGTTAGGAAATCGATTTCGTATTGTGACGGTCGCGTGGCACATCCTACGCAGAAAACCGTTTACATCGAACCGGACAACGGCAGTGGCGTAGTTACGTAAGGGGTTTCCCCCAGATTTTTTTTTTTTTTTAATGATATTTAATTATTATTTATTAATATTTACGTATTATAGTAAAATGATATTTTAATTTTACTACGATAAGGTATATATTAAAAAATTTCATTAAATACGAAACATAATTATAATAGCATTTCAAATGTTATATAGGACCTCGTATTAAGATATACTAAGAACATTGTGAATGGACTCTTAAACACCCCCTCCCCACCCCAGAAAAAAATCGTGTCTACACCACTGGACCACGGTATCGTGTGTTGAAACTTGAGGGGACGGTTAAACTCAACAGCGGGAACAACAAGCAATAAACCCCGTCGACCCCGTCGTACCGCGGCCAGACGAGTGACGCCATGTCAGACCACGGGCCGCTGCGTCGCGCGGTAATCGTAATCGTACGGCGCAGCGGCTTTCGACCCATCACGTGAAGGGGGGGTCGTACCCCGGAACCACTAAACCGGTGTGCGCGGTTGGAAAGACAGCCGAGAGAACACTTTGCAAGCGACATTATTTTCGTGCGAACGGTTTCGGCGGACGGGCGTCGGAAAAAAAAAAAATAAACGAATAAAATACTCGCCGCCGCCACCGCGGCACGGTCGATGGCGCGGCGCGGGGAGCGCGGATGATGATCTCGCCGCAGGGAGTTCGGGACAGCGCACGCACGACGGACGGTTGACACCGGGGACCCAGTCCGTAAACACCTGGTCCGCGTCCCGGCGGTCCAACAGGTGGACCCCTAACCCTTCTAACGGCGGCGGCGGCGGCGGCGGCGGCGAAAGGACGGAGGACAGCGGACCGAGCGCGCGCGAGATCCGAACGGATCCGGTGCCGTCGTTACGTAAAAGTAGTAGGAGTCGCGCGGGGCGAGCGTGTCGACGGCGGTCCGTCCGGGCACGCGACGGCCGCGTCGTTCGCCGTCGACGCCGTCGCCGCACAGTCGGCATCTCATCGACCCGCGGAGACATATATCATCGAATCGCAATCATCCGTCCGCGATCCGCACGGTAAAACGCGCGTCCGCCGTCCTCCTTACGTTACCGTCCGCGCTACCTACCACCTGTACCGCCGTGCGCGCGCCAGTGCCGCCGTTCTCGTCTATTATTACCGCGCGCGCGAGAGTGCTGTTTACGACGACAACGATAAACGTAACCACGCGCGTGCCTGGCAGTGTCGGAATGACCGTAATCCGGGACGAGAAACCGCGACGGTAAAACGTTGTCGTGTTGTTTATTTGCATTTTATTATTTGCACACGTCCCGTCCGACCGACCGCCGTATCCGCGCTATCCGTTTTCGCCCGCGTTCTCCCGGCTCAACGGTTTTTCGTTTCCCCGCACCCCCCGTATACACTTTTTCCGCGTCGACCGACCGATTCGGCGGACCGGACACCGCGCCGGGTCGCCGCCGCCGCCGATGAGATCCGGTGCCGCCCAGGGCATATCATCATCATCCGTCGGTGGACGTCCCTCGGTACTGCTTGACGGGACATGAAACATTCCTTCAAGACGTTATGGAACACCTGGCAATGGGGATGCGGCAGAACCGTGAGTACGACGCGCATCCGTTAACCGTGACGAGCCGTAACTTTTATGTCGGTTGTCGCCGCTCGCCCCGTTCGTTTCTCGACACGTGTCCCCTACCGAAAACCGTGACGGCCAGCAGCGTGCTGCCGACGACGGTTTTTCATTTATTGTTTCGCCGCGAACACGTGCGTTTTAGGCACTGCGATCACTCGACTCGCGCGTGGTGGTTCGTCTCGCTGCACCGAAAACGCACGAAAACATTACCGAAACGGGTTCGGGGTTTCTTAACATTTCATCTCGCTGTTCGATTTTTGTTTTTTTGTACCGTCACACAAAACCCTGATCGTACAGGTAGCCGTTGGGTAATAGTGCGATAAAAAAATTAACGATTCCCTCGAACGAATCGAAGTAAAAAATATTACACGAGACAATGTACACGCTTCATTTGCATAGTTTCTTGGAAATGTTTGCGCATTTGTTTTCACGGAAAACGTATTTTTTTTAATTTTTTTTTTTATTGAACTGTGTTTAAAACAATGTGATTGAAATTCAATACCCGCAACGGGTGTGTTTATTCTTTCGATAAGTATTCAATGGATATGATTGAAAAGCACAAATCTCACGACTTAATAAGATAATATTGATATTATTACAACAAATGAAATTCTACGTGCGGGTTCTGAAATCTTAACCAGTCATCATAATTCATATTACATAAATGGAAAGTTATCCTAAATCAGGCACTCGTGCAAAAGCTTTGTGAAAAACAGTATTTATAATATACGAGTACTATTATGTTAAATTCTATTGAGTAACATTTTTAAATCGTCAAAGTAATCAGTGAGCAGTTATAACTAATTATATTTTATCATTTCATTGTATGGTGTAGTAAGTAAAATATTCATAGAACTATAAAATGAACAACGAAGAAATAAAAGAAAAATTGTTTAAAAAAAATAAAGTTGATTAGGTATGGTTTCCAGTTTTTTTATTCCCACGTAAAATCTAAATAGTTCAAATTAATAGAAACTATTATAACTTGATAAATTTATCATTTCACAATGCATTTTATGTATAATAACAGACATAACACTTTTAATAGACTGTTATCTGAGTATTCAATGTTGAAATATGTTCGTACGGGTACTAATAATAGGTACTAATTATATTGAATAACTAAGGATTTTATTTTAAATACAAATATTTAACCTACGATTTAATTTCTGAATTTTTATTAAGATAATTTTCTAACTCATTGGTTTTAAATGTTTTTTTTTCAAATATTATTTGTGTATCAAAAAAATGTTGATTATTATAATGTATTCTTGTGTTGTATGAACTTATTAAGAGGACTTTATCAATTTATGTACCTATGTACTATTAAAAGTACCTAATTTATAATGCATTTAAAATCATATATTAGTGATGATCAGCAAATTACGATAAGTTTATGTATATTTTTTTATAAAACACAAAAATAAAAAATCCATTTATTCATTGATTTCGTAATATCGTTCCTATCGTTTTTGGAATAAAGAGAAAAAGACAAATATATACTTCAATTTTAGTAATTTACATGTATAAAAGGTATATGTATATCATATTTGTTTAGCTTAATATTTATAAGTAATAACAAATGTATGCAATAAAAATCATTATAACCTAATTAAAAATGAAATAAATAATTATCCATGTATTCATCTCCCTATGATTATATACATATAGTCATATACATAATTTGTTACAAATAATAAATATGTTTATTTTTTGTATTATTTAAAAATCAACATTTTAAAATTAATCTAATTCGATAATTAAATATAATTATCAACTTTAAAAATTGTATGTGTTTTTACATAGAAATAATTAAACGAAATCTTAAAGAAAAAATGAATAGTTAGTTCTTATGTAATAATTAAAAGAATATTTATTCGTATTGTATCAATGTGTAAAATAATAATAATTTGGTGTGATACATTTTTTATACTATTAATTTTGTTCACGTGATATAATGATATATAATGAATATTTCTTTTCAATATTAACTGATACATTCTAGAAAAAAAAATTATAGTAATTTATTTTATTTTATTGAGGTGAACGAATAAGTATAAAATAATATTTAATATTTGCTGTTGATTTAACCAATATGCTCGTATTATACATATACGTATACGCTATGGCGAAACTAAGAGGAAGAAGACGGGGATTTATCCCTAGATGTAAAATTTTAGAGGGTGTAAATTTTGTACATAATCTTTTATTGATTACTAGTTTGATATTCTTCACTTTTTTACTAATAATGTGTTTATTATAGGGGAGGTTAGTTGATTCATGGTCTATGGTAGAACGTAGTTTTAATATTTTTCCTGGGCGTAGAAATTCCTAGTTCCACTTTTGCATATTTATTATTAGTAGAATAAAATTAATGTTTATTAATAGTATTAATTAAAGTAAATGCTTTATGAATATACTTATGTATAGACTTATTAAAAAGTTATAAAAGTGTATAAATAAATGTGTGTTAATATATGATAATAATTCAAAAACATTTTTTCTAAATTGTAAGTGCAATTTGTTATTAATTTTTACTAACTGGTGTATGAATTACAAAAGAAATTAATCCCAGTCTATTATATAAGAGTTGTAATATATATGCGCAATATATTTATTTAATTTTCAACTTCGTGTGGTCTATAATTAATTACTGAAACGCTTTAAATGTAACGATTATAACATAATTATAGTTCAATGAAATCATAAAATGTTCATGATCGAATTAAATATTTATGTAACTGGACATTTGCATAAACTAATTGATACATCATAACAATAACAGCATGAACCTCATCAGATGTAACGTTCAACACATTATTTTTATCGGTTCACATTAATTAAAATGTTAAAGACGAATGTCTAAACACTAATCGTTTTAACCAGTCGTTGATTTAGAGACACTCGTGAATTCGTGTAATTTTAAATAAAAGCATGTTAGTGGTCGAAATATTTTATTGAATATGAGATGTTGATGAGTCAGTTTAAGTCGTATACTAGGAACACATGGTAAACATTTTTTATGTAAGTTCTCAGCAAATTTAATAATATTTACGGCGTCCTACGTGGATTAACTAGTTACGATTTCTCTTGCATCAAAAAGTATAGTAAAATCTTATTTTATTTTTTTATAACTCATTTATGTATAAATCAAATTTATAAATTTTTGAAAACAAAGGTAACATTTTCAATTGGTTTTGATATTTCTAGACATTTTAATGTTTAAATATTTAATGCATTATTTTGAAGATCTTAGATTTTTTTTTTTGTTTTTTTTGTAAAAAAGTAGTTATTAACTATTAAAATTCGTGTCTTTCTATCGACCAATAATAACTTATCACCAAATTATTTTTTACAAAAATCTTGCCTGCTACATTTTTTTTGATTTATGAAGTTAAGAAGTTAACATACTCTAAAAATCGAATTCCTTAAAATGGTATTTTTTTTTTTTTTTTTTAATGCTTATACTATACTTACAGAAATTTTAAAATTAAATTTTTTTCGTTTTACAATAGAACATATTTATTTAAACCGTTATTAAATGTTTGTTTAGTCTTTACTCACATTATTTATTAAAGAAAAAAACGTAATGTGATTCTCTTTATTAACATAGGAGATATCACAATTAGTAATTCCACACGGGGCATCCTGCATTATATCATATTTTACCGCGAGTGATGTTTATAGAGGAAAACTAATTTATCGTGATTTTTCTACGATTGAGTTAAAATTATTATATAATCCAAATTTCGCGTAGGACTACACAATCATAAAAACGATGAGTTTTGTGTTGACAAGTCCATGACCTATTTTATGTTTTACATTTTAACCTCCAGTGTCTCATAAATAATATTACTCAAAACTCGGAACAAAAAGATGCAAATTTATTATAAGACTATATCATTTTTCGTACGAACCGGCCCCTCAGCGAGACGATGGTAATGGTTTCTATCTTAGCGAAATATTATAATAATCACGTAGTACTGGCATGTTCGGAGTCTATACTTTGATTTGTTCAACGAGTCGATTGTTATACACGACAATTAGTGACAGTTGTTAGGCGTTAAAATATTTGTCCGTATCATGTGTCTCGTGTAATATTTGTTGTTGGTTTTGTGCGAAACGGGTATATCATATAAATGCGTTCGAGAAAACGCTGTTCTACAACGCCCCAGCGGACACGATTGACGTACCTAATGATCACACTCGATCCGTGTGTTGTTTGCACGATCTCGCGGACCACGGTTTCCGACGGGAAACCAAATGTTGTTATCATTTGTGCACCGCTCGCTAAGCGGATGGGGAACTTACGGGCATTAAGCTCCGCGGTGGCAACACGCGCGCGCGGCGACGACTCGATCAATCACGGGTGTTGTTATTGTGTGTACCTATGTCGAAAACGTCTCGGTAGCGGATTGACTCATATTTACTGCCAAGGTTCAAGGCGTCCAAAAAGGAAATACTTATGGGATTTAATTTAAAACATTGTGTTAAAGCGTCCTTCGGTGAACCCCATGCGGACAGAGTTCATACGTTTCGTGCGCGCGCGTGTGCGTGCGCGCGCGTGCCGCGCGTTACCGATTTAAATTGAGACGAAGCCATCGTCGTCCCATTACAATAACAACTGCATTAGCTAACTATATTAGCGGAACAGAAAAACCGTGTGATACATCGCGCGTGTGCTTTCGTTTTGCAGATCATGTCCGCCGTGGTTGCCCACGTCAACTCGATTTCCGTGGGCATGTGCCAGGGGTTCTCAGCGGTACTCCTTCCGCAGCTTCTCGACTCCAGCAGCTCCATACTGGTGAACAACGTGGAAGCGTCGTGGATAGGTGAGCGCAAACCGACGGCTGTGCCGTATGGGCCCGACGGGGCACATTTGTTGTACAACGATTGTCACCGCACGCGCACGTAACGCCTAGCGCTGCCGGCGGTGCACGACATACCTGTACGTACAAGAACGACCGCGCAAGCTCCGAGCGGGGTTATACATAATCGTGTTAACGTAAGGCGCGTGTCGAAAGGAATAAGGCAACCGGTTTCGAAAATGTCCCCATAACAGATAATTCACCTACTTAACGGCCGTATTTAATTGATAATACTGGTTGATCAATGTTAGCGGCGAGAAGAGCTGTGATCGTAGTTCGCAGCGATCGATCGCGTTCGGTGGGTACATCGCTCACGGAAGGTATACGGTTTCCGTGGGCTTTTCGTATTCGGAACCAACTGCCGCGCGCGCACACTCCGTCGAATTTCCACGGTTTTTCAGTAAAATAACCGAACCAATAAGGAAACGATTCAATCACTGATTCCGATTCCGAAACGAATTATTAGTAGGTACGCCAACTCGCGTGTTCCGTAGGATTTACTTTCGCTCCAACCGCAGACCATAATTTCAATCATTAAGAGCAATGTCATTATCTATCCCGGGTTCGAGGTGTCTCCAGGTTGCGGTCAAGGTTATCCAGTATGAATGTTCGATAACAATCGCTCGCAATAAATATAATTTGCAAAACGGCAAAAATATGAAAGTTCCTGTCCGCAGGTACACGCACGCGCAATTATCAGCTTAAATGACACATGATTGATATGCCGAGTGGTTGGCCCGTCGGTACATGGATAATTCAATATGATTTTTTCTACCAGATTCCGTCATTATTTTTTATCATTTTTATCATACTTAAACGAATTAAAAAAAAAAAAATAGAAAAAGTTGATAGTATAATTTATTACCCTATAGTCCATGGTTATAGTTACAATAAAAATATATATAAATAGGAGGTATAGGTGATCAAATGTGATGACTACAGAACACTATTATAATAAATTAGTATTTTATTCAAAATCGCTAAAAAGAAAACAATTAACAAACATTGTCCACTATCGTAATTGATTTTTTTTTTTATATATAATGGAATTTCATAAAATGTATTTAATACACGAAAACATAACAATGTTTTAATATTTGTATTATATTAAATAACTGTGTGCCAAGTACCCGTATTCAGTGGCGTATTTTCAAATTGTTTGTGGGGAGGGAAGGTTACATTTTTCAAAAAATAAATGTTTTAATAATATTATAAAAACACATATAAAGTATGAATTAATAATTATACTATCATTATAAATACAAATGAAAAGTTATTTACAACCACAAATAATATTTTCGTTTTCTGTTCCTTCGTAGCAAGTTATTTATGACTTTTGAACCTTTTTTTTCTTCTAAGGAATTCGAGCACGAGAACCACTCACCAGTAAAATACGCCACCCCCGTATTAAACAGTAAGCAATATGTGTCAATATTTTATTGAACCTCGTTTATTGTTACTCGTTATACTAGCGCTGTATCATATCTTCAAGAAATATCAGTACTCGTATGTGAAATTTTCGAAAAAAAATCGATTTGATTAATTCACTGCCTGATGCAGGTTTTGTTTTATAGCACTTAAGCGGTCAATAATATTAGCGTCTTACGTGTGCGTATTTTAGGGAGGGACAAAGAGGCGATTGATTCCCCTTAAATCCGTATTTAAGGAATTGATTAAATATGAGATATATATTTAAAATTTTTTTAATGTGGATCATTTTATAACGAAATCAAATTACACGTTGTTGTGAATACTGAATTGGGCTTTTTGTCGGGTCTATACATAGTGAAAAATTAAATAAAACACAAGTGCAACTTTCAAAACACAAACAGGTGATAAAAGAGAACTGCACAAAAATCGATTCTAAGTGGATCCGACATTAGATTAAAAAAAAAAACAAAAACCTTAATATTATTAAGGATTCACCTGATATAACCAAAAATTTAACTTGTAAATTTTGAGCCTGAATTGAAGAAAAAATTTGAGTCTCCTCCCCCCTAGAAGTAAGTCTTAATACGCTCCTGGCGTCTTTTACTAATCATATAACTCGGTACGATGCAAAATGTGTGCATTAATAGTATTATAATTCGTATCGAATGCAATATCGTTTCGATGACACGGGTTTTCTGCGTCGAAAACTTGAGAGGCCACCGATCGTAATATTATAAAGCAGTCATCGTGTTAATTGAAAACGATGTAGTGTATTTGTACGCGTTGAACTTGTTCACGGTTCACGATGAAACGGGCGATAAAAACAAAACATCAACCGGAACAACATCATTATGTTCGGTTTTGTTTTCAATTCGACAAACGCGCGTTGACCAACCGTACGCATCGCAACAGTCGTACAGAACAACATGATCCGACGTGGTCACATCATTACTTGTCCAGTCGTTTCCCGGACCAACTCGTAATATAATATTATAATAATAATGATGAAAATAAAAAAAATAAATTGTTTATTTAAAAATAAAACGCAATACACTCGTAACTCATTTCGTCCGCGTCCCTTTCGCAGCGAGCCTGGGAGTCGTATCGAACCCGTTGGGAGCACTGATGTCGGGTGTTTTCATGCAGACGCTGGGAAGGAGGATGACCGTTCAGCTGACGGCCGTACCGTTCTTGATCGGTTGGACGGTGATCGGGCTGTCCACGGACGTGACGTACCTGTGCCTGGGACGGTTCGTGTCCGGAGTGGCTATCGGTAAGTGAACGTCGACGGCGCGTCTAAACGAAGGTAACGCTCCGCGCCGGGCACCGCGGAACAACAACGCGTTTGCCCGGCGGACCGGCGCGTGCGGATCACGTACCGTGACCACCGCCGAGTGTTTGCCGACCCGAACGACCGTTGTCTGATATTCATAACACGCGGCCGTGGCGCGCGGGGTGTTGCAGGCATGTCGTCGGCCTGTTACGTGTACGTGGCGGAGGTGAGCTTGGCTAAGCACCGGGGAGTGCTGTCGGCGTTCGGGCCGATTTTCGTGTCGATCGGCGTGCTGTTCGTGTACTCGCTGGGCGCGATCATGCCGTGGCAGATCGTGTCCATCCTGTGCGTGCTCACGTCGTTCCTCAGCTTCCTGACGGTCAACCTCATTCCGGAGTCGCCGTCGTGGTTGGCGTCCAAGGGCCGCGTGACGGACGCGGGCAAGGCGCTGATGTGGCTGAGGCGCAAACCGTCGGTGGCCGACAAGGAGCTGGCCGAGATCCTGAACACGCTGAGCGTGAACGGGGATGGCGGCGGCGGCGGCGGCGGCGGCGAAGGGGCCGAACGGACCGCCGCGGCGGGGCCACGGCTCAGAGACTTCCTGGCGCCGGCCGTGTGGAAACCGTTCCTGATCCTGGTGTGCTTCTTCGTGCTGCAGGAGGCCAGCGGCGTGTACGTGATACTGTACTACGCGGTCAACTTCTTCCAGGTGGCCGGCTCCACGCTGGACAACAACCTGGCGTCGATCATGGTCGCGCTGCTCCGGCTCATTATGAGCATCACCGGTTCCATATGCATACAGCACCTGAACCGCCGCACGATGGCCATCACGTCCGCGGTGCTGATGGCCGTGTCGATGGCCGCGTGCGGCACGTACCAGCTCATGTACAGCGCGCTGGACGTGGACGACCGGCCGTTCAGCTGGGTGCCGCTGGTGTGCATACTGTTCAACGTCAGCGTCAGCATGCTGGGCATGGTGCCGCTGCCGTGGATGATGATCGGCGAAATGTTCCCGCTCAACGTGCGCGGCATCATGGGCGGCCTGGTGCCGTCGCTCGGTTACTTCTTCATATTCATCACGGTCAAGGTGTCGCCCGGCCTGATGTCCGCCCTGGAGACCGATCAGATCATGTGGCTGTTCGCGGCCGCGGCCGCCGTGGCCGCGTGCTTCTGCTTCGCATTTCTGCCGGAGACGCGGGGCAAGAGCCTGCACCAGGTCGAGCAGCTGTTCAACAGCCCCCCTGCTAACGGCACTGGATACCCGGAGAAGCGTTTCAGGCCCAAAGAGTCCGCGGTGTACTCGATTAGTTAGGATCGATCCTGGTAGCCACGCGCGAGAGTTCTATTAATTTATTTTCACCTGTAAACGCTATATACCTACGCTACATCATATTCTATCACTTTGGCTGTGGACGAAACTAACTAATCACATAACATTATTACTATTATTTATTATTATTATTTTATTTATTTATTATTATTATTATTATTATTTTTCGGATCCGCGTAATTCCGTTTGACATTTTCGCCATCCGTTTACGCGAAAACGTGTCCGTCAGACGGAGGTCGCGAATAGTAAAAAACCAAACGATTCCGACGTGTCGAAACGGAATGATTAGAAATTCCGTTCACAGATTCACAAGTCCGACATGATATTTGAAAGAGATTTTATTTCATTTTTCGAATATTTATCGCCACCAGAGTAGCACCCTAAGGCGTCTACATCCACTCCTATATCCTATATTACGTGGCGTTTTCCGTCCCAATCGAATTTCAATTTTGTTGTCGTACCTAACTGTATTACTTCGTGTGCACCTACTCACAGTAATCGTACGACAGTGATATGTGATTGAAAATAAATAGGTAGTTGTTTATGTTATCATGTAGTTTTGTTATTTTATAGTGTATATCTTTAAGTATTTACCAATATTTATTTATTATACAATAGTATTGCCTAAATTGTAAATAAAACAAACTTGTGATATTATTTTATTGTTAGGGAAATTTTGTAAAATCAAACTTTGTTACGTATTGTGTCGAATTTTTTAATATGAAACCATTTATTATCTGTATTAGAAAATGATAAAAAATAAAATAAAAAAAAATAAACAGTAAAAAAAAACTGAATACCTAGAATAACGACTTTTTTATGTTTTTTTATACTTATAGATGACTTATTCTGTTACGTGAGACGTATCAGTTCTACTTCTTTAAAAATGCAGTTATACTACACCACAAAGAATTGCCACGATAGTCTATAATATAAAACGAGTATGTGCCTGTGTATGAGTATGTGCAGTGATTCTAAAAACGTAAATTTTATTTTAACAAAATTAAAAAGTAATCGCTTTTAAGAAATGTCAAGTAAACAAAAATTCAAATAGGCTCCCAGTGAACGTAAAATATTTATTAAAGAACAATTTCAATTTCAGAGATAACAATGTAGCTTACCGACATTAACTTTTACTGGACAATAATTAATAACGTATACTATTACAGACACATGTTCAGAAACTAAAAGTCTTGTACCTACTTAACATATTTTAACATGACCAATTCATCTAACAAACGGTTTAAGAACGAGGGAAATTGTTACAAGCTAATCGAAACAATATTATTATTATAAAAGGGTTTTGACTCACGAACAACTCTTTTTTGGGTATAGTTATAAGTATATCTCATGTCTTGGTATAAGAATATTAAAATAAATCACAATCAACACAATACGCGCTTGGATTTTTATTGTTTGAATGAAATTAATTATAATCCCTCCCGACAAGTAACGTGTATATTATAATGATATATTATTACCAATATTCGTCATTGATGGGCGTACAGTATTATCTTTAATTTATACACTCGGTAATTAAACATAATCGTTCATGAATATTTAAAATTAGTAGGTTAATTCGTTATTCGCTAATTTAAAGATGTCGATATGATTGTGTTCTTTTGTTAATTTAGTAATCGATTATTAGTCACATAGAACATAATAGTCACATTCCGGTGAATATAATAACTATCTAGCTACTGTTAAAAAGCAATGCCTTGTCTATGTAACCATTCGTATTTTCTTTATTTTTCGTTGCTTTCTTCGAAGAATAGAAGAATTCGAGAATAGGATGTTCATTTTACAGTATCTTGTACAAACTGATTATAAGATTGATAGATTAATTATGTTAATAAGATAATATAATCGTTTTCCATTATTTTTCATTCAAATATGATACTAAAGAATCAATCATATTACATTATGACGAGACCTAACATTTTTTAAATTATTTTCACTGATGAGTTTATAAGGGTTCTTTTATCATCAATTTTTACAGTTACTCTTTCTCTTCATACAGCTGGCTGTGACCGTCTTATCCGTACAAATATTACCATCGCTTGATCTGTCTTTTTCGTACTTTCCTTATACACATGTTTACAAAAAACACTGGGTTCAATTGATTATTATATTGTGTTTATGCTTAAAATGTTGTTAGATACCTATGTTGTAACTTATGTTTTTGTTTTTCTTGTTTCTTCGGCGTACAGAAATTTATATTCCTATATATATACTTACACTTTAATTAAATTGGCTTTCATTACACATTATTATAGTCATCAAAAAAGTTCTGCATCGTTAGTAAGCCATTATAGTAGTTGAAATTAATAACTATTCTATTATGATCATTGGTATTACAATTGTAATAATACATAATATGAAAAAAATTACATACCTTGCCGTTATAAGAATAGTGATCGTTTTAATATTTTATGACAGAAATAAACTGTGCAGCAATTCAGTGTTTTGATACCAAAATTAAGTATTAATAATTGTGGATCGATTTTAAGTGAACTTATGCATAAACGTTAACTGACATTTTATGGAAAATATATTAATATTCATGATTTTATTAAAATATTTTTATTGAAAATTGAAAATTAACAATTTAAAAAATGTTTGATTAAATTGTTATAACAATTTAAAAATAATAACAAAGATTAAAATAATTTATTATTAATTATTAAACTGTTTTGTAGTATGTAGTAGTGCGATTATATAGTAGTAGTACTTCTAAAATAATAACTATGTATTATTAAATGTTTAAACAATTTATTAAAAGTTATTAAATGTTTCCAATAATACCCATATAAGTAAATTACAAAGTATAAAAATTTAAATTTTTTGTCTGAAATATTATTATAAATATTTGTAAATATTTACTATTTATTATTTTTGCATTTATATGAAATATATTTTATTTATCGTTTTTATTGAATCAGTTATCGTAAATTATACATATGTTATAGTATATTATATGTTCTATATATGCTAAATCTTTGATATTATTATTTTATTTAAGGTTATTTCAACATCATAGAATCAATGTTTCTTCGGCCGTTAAAGTAAAGTCTTTTGAGAGCCAGGAAAGATAAAACGTGTTGGCGAAAACACACTATACACAATACGACTTGCCAAAACTATTTTCAGTGTTCAGTGTTGACCCTTTTCAATTGGGTCTGAACTACTTAAAAGGTGAACAACAACAGTATAATTAATAAATTACTTCCATTTAATCAAACAAAAGTATAAAATATAAAAGTATAATATCCATATAACATTATAGGTAATTGAATTGTTAACATATCAAACATTATTGATACATTCCAAAACAGATTTTAGTTAATTTTATTGTTTACTAATACAATACAAAATTAAAAAAACAAAATATTTTGATTTCAATTTTCTTTTTTAGCTTGATTATTCGTAAAATGAAATCTATTATTTTATTTTATTATTAAAGAAGACAATAGTAAAAAATTGTGTAGGAAATATTTCAAATCATTTAATGAAAATAAACTATAACTAGACTAGGTATACTGAATTAACCGTTTTTTATACGTATTATGGTTATCATACATTGTTTTGTTATAGTTTTGACATTAGTTTTATAACGTAGATAATCAAAAGCTCCTAAATAGTGAACTAAGCAATACTTTATCAGTCATCATATTTATAGTTAAAATTTAAACATACATTTGAATATAGGTAAACTATAATGATATACGTATAATAAGGGCGCCACTCATATTTTATTTTATTTTTATAATACATTTATTACTTTACTTTTTGCCTTACTTACTTTACTAGGTTCCTTTTACCTTAAAAACTATGTTGATGAATTTTTAGAATTTTGAGTCAAGTTTTACCCGTCGTTCAAGCATATTAAAATTTTTAATTATATTAATATTGAAAATATATTATTTATTTTATTATTATCATATTATTAACTGTCGACTTTATATATCCATATAAATATTTTTAATAAATTTATATTATGCAAAGGATAAAATATACAATATTAACAAAAAAAAAAAAAAAAAATAGTATAAAGTATCACAAATTATGAAGAAAAAATTCTAAAGTTATTTTAGATATTATCTTGTTCTCATAAGCTTTTAAATGTTTAATAAAGATTAAATCATTAGAAGGGGCACAAGTAGCATTAGGTAATGTAAAACAATATTTTTCATACACTTTGATAATAAAAACATTTTATATTTGTAATCTCTCAAAAACTTCTGGTTTTAATAAAAACTTTAATCGAAACATACATTTTCAAACAGTTAATAATTTTAGACATCCACCTAGTTCTAAGGAAAGCTCCGGGTGCTTGAATTTTAATTTGTTCACCAAAATGTTCTCCAAGAAATAGCCAACTAAGATGTAGCAATTTTTTATAATTATTAGAAAGGAGATCGATCTTTGTAACTGTGATCTGTGTAAAAAAAAATATGTAAATATTCGTATTAATATTTTAGTTATGTGATAACATAATACCATACATATTGATCATAATATTATTATTAAACAATGGAAATTTTCCAATATGCAACGAACTATTATTGATATAATTTGTGATGTTCTGTGTTCATTGTTTATTTTGTGTTTATTCAATAACTAACTCGACTCGTTTCCATAGTTATTTACTTGATACGCCTATAATGCAACTGTATTGCGGACGAATGTTTTTACTTCGTATTTACATTGTTACCCAAAGTACAGTGGAGTAAAGTTAGAGTATGGATGCCTTTTTAAGTATTTTTAAAACAATAATTTTGAAATGAAAATCAACAACATGAAAAATTATCCGGCTAAATTGAATTTGAAAAATGATCACAGTGCAGACTTTACGTCGTATGAAGATAAAAATAGCAAAAGAAAAACTAGTGCACTTAAACGTGAAAAAGAAAGGTAAGGATGGTAACTTTAATTGGAAGATTATAAATTGCGACCAGAATTTTTGCGTAACATTATTCATGATTTTACCTTGTTATGTTATTCTAATGGCTACACAATCATTATTAATCTTTGCCGATTTTAAACGCTGCGCAAACACAATTAATACGTCATTTTAATAAAAGTTTATACACATCACACTAATGTATTTATAATTTGATAAATATAATTATTATAGTAATATATATAATTATAATAATTATATTATATTATATATATATTATAATAATATATATAATTATTATATTAAGTTAATTGGTATTATTATTTGCATTATTAAATTAGTAGCGTAAACTAAAGCATTATATGGTTTAAAATGCTGCTTCAAATTTAAAAATCCAACGCAAAGAAAAAATCATAGAACAATATAAAATAATATATATTAGTGAGGCTCAATATGATAAATTGTTATTAATATCATTATATAGTAACATACATAAATTAATTAATACAATATGCAAGCCCGTATTTATGACGGGGGGGGGGGATAGGCACATGCCTGAGGGCGTCAAGTCTTAAGGGCGGCAAAATATTTTAACAAAATTAATTTTAAAAATGATGTACCTAATGAAAAAAGAATAAAATAATAAAAAAAAAGAAAATAGTATGTTTTATTATGTTATAATTTGTTAATTAAAAAAAGTATTAAACGATTTTCATTTATAAGTTATATTTTAATAATAAAGAATCTTGATTATGGATGAAATAATAAGTGTTATATTATTATTACTTTTTTTTTTGGGGAGGGGGAGCATAAATTATATGTCCGGGGGCGCCAAATTTTTAAATACAGGCCTGACAATATATGTTATATATTCGTAATTTACAAATTTTCCCTTTGTCAGACGCAATTCACGTTGCCCTTTTAATTAATTGATATCCATTTATGAACTGATGAATAAATACATGATGCAGACTGGACACCGATGAAGTAGAACAGAAAGAACTTGATAATATAGAACTGCCAACATCCATTTTAAAACAAATCAATATCAGCGAACAAGATATCACTAATTATACAATAGAAGGTTCTCAATTAGTGACAAACGTATTTCTAGCAAATGAAAATCGCGAAAATAATCGCAGGCATACTGATAAATGCGAAAGAGATGCAAGATTAAAAGCTATTGAGCTTGAATCCGAAATTGCTACAGCTAAATTTAAGGAAATCAGTGATCAGTGGGAGGTTATATTAAAAAAAAATGACGCACTAGAAATCCATAAACATTCTGAACTTCAAAAAAGTTTGTTGAAAATATTTATTTTAATAATACAAAACATCTAATTTAAAATTCTTCTTAATTTTAGAGCGAGGACTTGAGCTTATCGAACAAAAAAATCAAATGATTGAAATACTGAAACGTGATTTAGCTGAATCGGATACCAGGTTTTTAGACGAACAAGCCGCTCAAAGTGAAGATGTACGCATTTTACAAGAAAGAATTGAAAATCAAGTAAAATTTATGAGAAAGCAGTACAAAAAACATATTCAATGTATAAAGGTTAGTATAATCAAGAGTATATAAGGAGTAATTAAAATAAAAATAAGTAGTTTACACAAGTAAACATGTTAGTTTACACTAACTTTTAAATATCTGAACATAATATATTTAATGTTGAAAAATATTTAAATATAATAAAAATATTCATAATTTATTAATATGTATTACAATTTCATTTTTGTTTAAAATAAATGTAACCAAAATAATTTTTGATTATATTATAATACAATAATTCAATGTTAAAATATTCATTAGTTAAAAGTTAAATTTCATTTTATGAATACTTATAAATTTATTGAACATATCTAATATGAATAAAATTACAATTATTTTTGTAGAATTTATCCAATTTATTTTTAAAATAATAAGTAATTTTTGTTTTATAATACACATCGTTTTATCGATACTTAGAAAGTGATCTTACATAAACTAAAGCGAAACTAAATAAAGCGATATTTTCCAACAGTCAACTATGGAACAACAAAGAGAATTTAGAATTGTTCATGCTAATGAAAGTTGGAATACTAATTACAATGGGACGATGTTAATTGAATCCAATTCTTTAAACGACCGACTAGCTATGATTGAAAAGAAAGAAAACAATATTATGAAACAATACGAAATGAATGAAGAAACAATCAGAAATTTAAAATCAAATATTAATACAGAGTTGCACGTAAGTCTAAAAAATAGGAAAACGTATCACGGTTCATTAAATTTTGCCAGAAAAAAATATCAAACTATTATTAAAATTAATCATATTTATTAGAATATGCAAAGAGAATTTGATTTGATTAAACTGAAGTGTTTAGACAACGTCGAAAAACTTAATTACAATTATCAGGTATTGAAAAGACGAGAAGAGGAAAATGCTTCTGCAAAAGCTGCCCAAAGAAGAAAGATTAACAAGTATTTAACCATATGATATATATATATATATATATACAAATAGGTATTTTATTTTCAACCTTATCTATATTAATTTGATCAGATTACAAGATATTTTATCGAATAAAAGGAAGATTTTACGGGAAACTAAAACTGAATTCAAAGCTAAAGTTCCTTTACTGCACGGTGAAATTGAAAAACTAAAACAAGATATCAAGCGACACGAAAATAAAACTGAAAGGTTTGCTGTAATTCAAGAAAAGACGTTCAAAGAATTGTGGGATTTTTCTCAAAAACAAATCACTATGCAATTAGAAAGGGTAACTAGTTATTAATTACGAATTGTTTTTCAGCTTTCGTGGATTGATATAACTTTTTTAAATTTTTTTTTTTTAAGATTTTTAAAATTGATCAAATAATACACGAAACGCAATTGGGCATCGACTGGCATCCGCCAGATAAACTCAAATACCTAGACGTAAGCGAATTGCCGTCGTTCAGGAAAAAGCCTTGCACGCCGAATGCAGAAAGTACGTTTGTGAATACACTACGCTAAACAATGCACTATGCGTTTTCTTTGCACTTCCCTGAAGTAGGAACAATGTGAAAATTACGCTGACCCTGTTCCTCCACCCCCAAAATAATAACTGCCATATATCATATTTTATAAACGAACTTCCGTAGACCTACGGGTGGAGAACGACCAAGACGCAGTGGACTCGTACGCGGAGGCTAGAAAACGGATAATGATGCGATTGATATTCGACGCGACCATAAGAAACGCGTCTTTTATAATAGACAACGAACTGATTGATATTGTGAAATCGCATCCGAAAAAGAACCTTATACTGTTGTACAACGCAATGGCAGCGTACGGCTTGAACACCATGGATTCGTGGAGATGTTTACTATCGTACGCCCAGTCGATGGTGAAGTGTCAGGTTTGCCGTACACCAGTTCTGTGGCGTAAAAGCGGTGTAGATCGGCAGGAAAAAGTTGATAGGTTCGGCTGACTGAAATTAATCGGACGGTGTGGTAATTTGTTCGTTTATTTATTTATTTTTTTTTGCATTTTATTCTACACAGTGAACGGAAACCCGAATCTGAAAATCGATTGGTCGATAACTTATTGGTTTTCACGGAAGCCCATAAGATATCTATCGAAAAAACGTTGTATACGACAACTAATAATATGTTGGACAAGTACGTACTGCGATAATGACTAGGTCAAAATGTATACATTACTGAAATTGTTTGTATTTATTATTTCAGGACACGGTCAGACTACTACAGACCAATTTTCAAACTAAAGTCAACACCGCTTGATATCCACACTGCTGCGGATATTAGTGACTATCCATCATTAGAATGTGCTAATACAGACTCTGATAATTCAACGATTACATGTACGCCAATTGATGAGATTTACATTATATATTCGTAAAAAAAACACATTACTGAAGTCGTACGAGTGATTTCGATCGGTGTAGTAAAATTTTTTATAAATTCCAAGTGTTTAATAGTTAAATATTAGTCAATAAATCTGTGGTAGGTATTTTATGTACACGTACCTATGAGATAAATATCAACTAAAAAAACATCGTAGTATTATTTGATTTTTAATTAAATATTTACTCAAATGATAAACATTAACACAACATTTTCAATGTCAATATTTGTATCATTTTTGATTGTAAACGGCCTGCATATAAAATCAATACACCAATAACTGTTAAATATGTATCAACTTGTACATTAATAAAGTTTATCACAGTTTTATAAAAGTAAAATGCTTAATATCAAAATTAGTACCTAAATTCTTCTATTTGCTTACAAAATAAAATTGCGAATTTTTTTTTTTTTAATTAGTCTTTTCTATTTTTGTACCTCGATAAACGTATTTCAAAACAAAATTTATACAATGAATCGATAAATATAATATTTTTGCTAAAAATTAATTTTTTTTTTTTTTTTAGTTTCTTTGTCATTGACGGATTTTGATCAATTATGTAGTGAAAATGATTCGAATCCAGCAATTAAATCTCAACGCTCATGTAAGTAAATGCTTAATATTTTTGGAATAAAATCTAAGATTTGAAATTTGAGTAGTTTCTCAAGTAGAATTGGAACATTTTCAAATGGAATCTGAAGAACAAAATGATTATTCAGAATATACTTCACTGAAAGGTTATCAAAATATCAATGAAGAAAGTAATTACAAAATATATATCATTATTAATTATAAGTACAAAAAAGATCTTGGAAGAATCTTCGTTATTTTTGAATTAACTATAATATTGTACTATAAAGAATGATCAAATATGAATAAATAATATAATATGTATATTATATATAATAAACAAATAAATATATTTATAAATCTTAGTAACCTTAATAAAAATTACTCAAAACTCAAGAGTTATGAACAATTTTAGTGTCAAAAAATAATTAATATTTTCATTTTTAGAAGATTTCAATGTACAACAATTCCTATGCGATAACCTTGACCATAAATTAGTAATTAAAGACACAGATTATCTTCGCGTCATCAAAAAATCCATTGACATAGCAAAATGTAAAGCATTAAACCAGCAAAGGAAAAATTATTCTGACTTTTACTTAACAAAAACACTAAATATAGAAGACATAAGTGATTATTGGAAACAGTTTCTCTATGCATTTCCTGATAACCGCTTGAAAATGTGGATTATATTTGACAAAGCCATTACGAAATATTACCAAGCGCTACATCGTAAGCACCACATTAAAATTATTTTGTTATACGAGTAGTATTTTTTCGTGTATAATAAATTTAGAATTTCACTAAACTTTCATTTATATATTTACAGTACAATTCAAAAAGACAAAAGAAGTTGAAAAATTAGAAAATGAAAATATGGAGTTGAAAACAATTTTGAAGCATTTTATGGATGCAGAACAGGTATTTCTCATTGGGTTGATAATTTTATATGAAAAATCATCGATTTCATAATGTCTGAAAAATAACAATGAAGACAATTTAATACATTTCAGAATGATGTAAGACTACAAAATATTTGTACTCCCAAAGTTCAAAAAAAGCAGACAGACTCCTTGAAAAATCCAAAAACAACAATGATCACAAATAATTCTACAAACATGTTGTATGGTACATCAGTCCATATATTTTCAGTGAATAGACCTGTTAAAAGTAATAAGCAAACACTTAAAAACTCCAAAGAAATTACATATTTCTAATAAATTTATAGGTATAAAGTGATTAATTAAGTTTAATAATTTTAATTTATAATTGATGGCTGACTTAGTTTTTGTGAGAAATAATAAATACCGTTGTCATTTACTCGTTAGGAAATTCTTACAATAAAAATTTTAAAACGTAAGATTCAAAAATTATAAAATTATAATTGTAATAATAATTTTAATTACAACAGCTTATTTATTATAATATTTTATGATATTGTTTGTATATCTCAACATTTCAATACTCTCAACTAAAATTATTTTTACAAACAAAACACAAAGAAACATATCATAATAATAAATAATAAAATACTAAATGTATTATTGGCACTTCTATTGCGTTGATTGTATTAAATATAATAATATTTGTTTTTTGGTCGTTAATTAAAAGAAATTTTTTGCCATTTGAAGTAGAGAAGTCAGTATTATCTAATGAAGAATGTATCTCATTTAATGACGTAGGAATCCTACGGTAGGATTAATTGGAAATGAACGCTTTCGTGTTCAATGTATAGCCAAATATATCATTGACTGTAAAATTTGAAACACTGTTATTCGATTGAATTTCATTCAAAATTATATCATAATAATATAAGTAGAAATAGATTTGGCTGAAACTAAAATTAAGACCTCCCTAAGTAACGGTAATAATACAAATAAAGAAACAAATTTCTATAATACAATTATTTATAATAAATTACATAAATTAATTAAAGATATAAACTGGAACCACAATATAACAGATAATAACAGTTCTAATTTAAATATTAATTTATAAACGGCTTCCCTACAAAATGTAATAAAACTATCTACAATTACAAAAGCAAACAAATCAATAAAAAGAAACAATCCATGGATTCAAACAACTATAATTAAAGCAATAAAAAAAAGGGATAAACTGCATAGACTAATTAGAAAAGAAATAATAAAAAAAGAAATTAACAGAAATAATAAATAAAATAATACTTTTAATTATTTAACAGCCAATATATTAAAAAATTCCGTTTTTTTTTTAATTATTAAATATTTAAAATGTTATAAATAATTTAAATTATAAAAATAAATATATTATTTAATAAAAAAAACTAAATAAGTACAAAGAAAAACACATTTATGATATAGAAATAAAATTTAAAAATCATGTATAGTCAGTCTTCAAAAAGGAAATATAACAATTAAATATGCATTCTGTGGCATATTTTAATTTGAATGCTGCAGTTGAATTTGTTATAATTAGAGCCCGAAACTTGATGATCTAAAAATATATAAAAAAAATGCACGAAAAAAATGCATAAAAAAATATTAAAAAAATGTATATTTTACTGTAAAAATTGACGAATATTGTTTTGATAAGAATTATATAATTTATAAATTAATTAAATAAAACTATATATAATTTACTCAAATTAATTTTTTTATGGCTAGTTTTTATAGGCAAAAAATGGTAGTATACACTACTTTTCATGAAATTTCTTTTTTTGTCGAATTTCTTGTTTTTAATCTACTCTGTAATAAAAAAACATATGAATTTCATTAAAATGAAAATCTTTACGTACCTAATAATTTTCATTATTTTTGTTTTACCTTCAAAATTATTACACTTTATAATTAAGGTTTTCTTAATATTTTCAAACAAAAATGATAGGCGATCATCTCACAGTAGTGTTTTGTAGATCGAAAAACTTCTCTCTACCTCAACAGATGCAATATGAGTTATTATTTTCACGTGATGTTACTGCTGCATTTGTGACGACTATTAATTCAATTGGACGAAATTTGAATCGAAATTAAAACCGGTAATTGCGATGGCGCACAGTGGTCTGTGTTCTAGATTAGCTTGCATTAATTAATACGTTCTAAATATGAGTTAAAAAATTATGAAAAATATCAATTCTATTAGTTTTAGATATGCTAAATGCAAATTTGTTATCACTTTTGAAATCAACCCTTAATTAGGGGTAAAAAAACCTAACCTTACTTATGTTTTTAAATTTTCATAAAACTTGCATATTGTACATCAACTAATTTACATTTTTTAGGTAGCTTAATCCAAATACTATAGAGGATGTTTTTTTTTAAATTAATATATCTTTAATATAACTATATATAAATTCAGATAGCAACAGTTCGTTGTCGACTACCATAGTATACGCACGTGTTTTATCTCCATTAACTCGTGCTCCGCGTTTCTATAAGTATTTACCAGTAATTAATTACTTATAAATCACTACATCAATTTCATAACATGGGTGTATGTGATACTTGTGCCGTGAGCATTAAACGCTGTCAAAACGACTCAATTACGTGTTCTTCCTGCTATAAATTGTTCCGCGTTATTTGTCATTCGTTGGAACAAGATGATATCGAATATTTATATATTTTGAATAAATCATGGTCTTGTGTTACTTGTGCAAAAAAATTTAAAAATACTATTTCTTTTGCCGGTAACTCTACTAAACCTCTTTCTTTAGTCTCTATTACCAAACGCGACTTAAAATTAATTATCAGTCATCTCGATAACCTAAGCACGGAGCAAATCAAACTTATTGATTTGATAAATGAGCAAAATGAAAAACTTAATTCTTTTGACAAAAAATTCCATGAAATTTTCTCTCAATTATAATATATCAAAAATGAAAATAGTGTGCTTCGTAATGATTTGACTGCTATCAAGGTTTGGTTAGGTTCATAATATTATTGTATTCTTGTATGGTATGATTCAATTAAATGATGAATTATGATCATTCATATAAATATACAACAATAAAAGTATTAACAGTTCGTGTATGGACACCGTAGCGACCACACGTGTTATTATCGCACACAATTGACAACTCAGTGACTCACTGACTCAAACTATCAATTCACTACTCACAACTTTGATACTATAGATACACGACTCTCGACTCCCTTGATAACGGTTTGCGAATCCAAACGGAAAATTTAATACCAACATAAAAAATAGTTCCCCTCGGATTTGGTTACCTTAAATATTTACTACTATAATCATAACATTTTATAATTTATATTTAAATAAAATATGAAACAAAATTAATAACTATAAACATTTTTGACATTAAAAATATTAAAATGATTGAAAGAGTATATGTTAAAAAAAAATTATAATGAAATTAAATAAAAGTATGTTTACAAATTAAAATTTAGAAATATCATTTTTTCAAAATTATTACTCCCCAACCTATTCCTCCTCTCAGTTATCGTCTAGTCGGCTTTCGAAAATATTTTTTCATATGGAACTGATGTTGCCAATATACGCAAATTTTTTTTTTTATAATTTGAAAAAGTTTTGGGTAAACGTTTTTACTGTCTCTCCACCATAATAATAAATGATTATTTTATAATCTTATAATTATATAATAACATGATTTCCTACTTTCTGAGAAAAATTCATAACGTTGTATGCTTATAGTCATAATTAGTTTCATATGCAATAAGCCCAGAGCCGTGTCAAACATTTCAGTTGCCCTCGGGGCAGAATTTTTTCTATGAGGCCACTGGCCACAAGTAGCATATTAAGTGCAGATAAGGACGCCCCCTTACTTTTAAAAAAACTATGGCGCCCAGGGTAAATTGCCATCTTTGACCCCCCCCCCCCTTAATATGGCCCTGGATAAGCCATTTACGAATATAGATTATAAACTTATGAGTCAAATCAAAACTCGAGACTTGAAGAGTTGATTAGAGTAGTGGTAATCTGATACAAACAAACAATTGAAGAGTTGGGAGTCGACTCTTTGATTCAACTCATTAGACTGAACTGAATTGAAAGGTTCAGTTCAGCAGAATGAAATGGAATTCCCATCCCTACCATGGACTATCGGTAATGTATACGGTAGAAGCAGTGGCATAGCAAGAATTTTTCAGTCAGGGGGTTTACGGTTTATATCTATACAATAGTTAGGTATACATAAAACATATTATTTTAAATTTTCTTGTACTTTATTTAAAGCATTTACAGTCAAACAATATTTTAATATCTTTGGAAAACCCTCTTAAAAGTATTAAAAAAATACTCTGGGAATGTACTTAAAATACTATGCCCTAGTACCTATTTCAAAATTGTTTACGTATTCGTGTACCTGAAAAGTATTTGAATACTTTAACTCAAGTACTATACAAGACTGTATGTTAGAACATTTCAATAAAACAAAATGCAAATCTATATGGTTTAATACATTTTAATAATTAAAATAAAACCAAATATTTGTACGAACAATTACAAATTTTAATAATATAAATTTATGATATATAAATAACATTAAATAGAAACCTAAAATAAAAGCTATAGGTAAAATATTTCTTATATGTTGGGAAATTTTAATAATAAAATATGCAAATATATATTGTTTAATACTTTTTATAATTAAAAAAAAAAATCCTTTTATGAACATTTACAACATCTTAAATAATAAATAACAATTAGCAACATTTTTTTTGTTTTTGTTTTTATAGAATTTTCTGAAATAACAAGAAATACAAGCATTAAAATGTGTCATTTACGGTCTGCTCAAAAAAATGTATATTTACTAACAAGGTACTTACTAGACATTGTTTATCTTGTGTACACTATTATTTGACAATTTTTAGCAGTAGAACTTGGTCTTAAAATTCTTACTGAAGAGCATCCATCGTCATACTTTTCCTACCTCATAGTGGTTTCCTTCCAACAAATTGCGACGTAATGCCCAACTGCTTTTAGGTTTTTTGATATGGGAGGAATGAAATTAATTAGACCTCGAAGATAATATAAATTATCTTGAACATTAAGTATTTTGGGAATATCATTTAAAACTACAGAAAGATCCAGGTCCTGTGTTGTTTTTTGTTGTTCTGTTATGGGGAAATACGGCTCAATAAATATATGGATCCCGAGCTCATAAATATATTCAATATTATATATTTTATACAAACATCACACATTTTTGATTTTTTTTTTTTGCAAAATTGAAGATAGAGCATCGTTTAAAAAATCTAAACTTTGTGTCGGTAAATTAACAGAAATCGTAATATTGTTTCTCTTCTTCTCATATGCACAATGGTTACATGTTTCTTTTGTTACCAGACTTGGATTATTTATAAATATTTTTCGTATTATATATTCAATTGTGCTCGAACAGGCTATATTCCTAAGCCCACTAGCAAGTTCAGTCCATGGCTGCAATTTATTTATTATATTTTTCAGTAAAATAGCTCTTTTTTGATAAGTTTGGGCGTTAATGCCATCTCGTATGGCACAAAAAATTAATTCATAAAAGTCATTTTTTTTTTTCTCGCTCAATATACATTGAGTATTGCAAACTATCAACATATGAAGTGCATATTAAATGTACAATGCTATCGAAAGTGTAAGTATTAGTAAGCACGTAGTTGAATCCGTCGATTTGTATTGATTTCAAGTTTGCATTATTGCCATTTTTTAAGATTCCAATAGTTCGACTTTTATTCTTACTGTTATCGTTGTAGAATAAGATGTCAGTGTCTTTGTTAAGGTAGTTACTTCTATTTTTTTTTTTTTTTTTTGGGCTCTTCACCAAGTCCTTTCTAATTTTCATAAGAATCATTCTTCTCAAAATCTAAACTAAATTTATTGGATTCGTCTTCATTTTCTTTAGATTTATAAAGTTCACGGTCCATAGAATTTCCAATAGTATTAGAAATTGGTTTATCATAACTAATTTTATCACAATCTTCATCTTCATTTATTTTATTTTTATTTTGATTTTCGTGTGAATCTTTCTTATTAATTTCATCTTCTGAATCATCAAGTTTGCTGCCAACTAAATTCATTGAACCAGTTATTGAGTTGATGTGAATTTTTATAAATTGGTCAATACGTAAGGGAAGTGTCTTATGTTTGAAAACATTTGATTTTAAGTCGTTGAAAAGACTTTCAGAAGTCGCACTAGTTTCGGTAATATTTCCATAATTAAATATTGCTAACCAGCAAAGTATTAGTTTACAAAAATCTAATAATTTTTTTCCAATAGACGGACAGAACTGCATGTTGTCGTGGTCCCCATTATCATCATGTTCTGCTTTAATTTTTATATTTTCGTATATCAACTTAAACTCTTCAAATATCGAACTTGTAGTTTTTGAAATTATATCATTATAATTGTCTTCCAGTTCGTTTATATCGGTTTGAACTTCCTCTGATGTAATTAACAAATCCAATTCTATTTCATGTGTTTCAATTCTTTGCTTCAGATATTTTTTGAAAATTTCACATTTCGTTAATACTTTACATAAATTTAATCCATCCGTTTTATACAAACAGACAGTAAAAATATGTTTTAATAATATTTTTACATCTGAATAATCAGTACTAAGAAATTAATAACCCTATCGATCTAAGATAAAAATTGTTTACTCTAAATGTAGACTGTTTTATTTCAGGCCATGTAGTAAGGAGATACATGACGTGATTGAAGTCATTTCGAATCATAGCTGATGGCAAATCAACTTCGGGTTCTTTTAAAATTAACGAAGAGCAAACACTTATATATTTTGTTAAGTGTGTATACTGTGTGAATGACTTTGTAACTGCAATCATTAATGCTAACGATTGATCAGTGATAATAATTTTCGGGCAAGAAATTTTAGTTCTTAACCATTCGGATAACCATTATGAAATTGTGTTATAGTCGTGTTTTTCCGAAAGCATATATCCTACTGAAAATCGGCAGCCATTTTTAGCATCTCTTACTCCAATTTGATACAAAAAAGTATTTGATGTCTGTCTTCCAGATATCAAAATAGATTTTTTACAACACCTCCCGTTGCATCTATTGTTATTTTTGGTATGTCAGTATTTTTCGCATAAATGCGATACGAATTAATTTCAGTAGATACCCAATAGTGCACAAAAAATTTGTCATACGATCTATCATGGATAATATTATTATAGGGGGGAGTGCCTTTTAATATTGATAAAGCCATAATTGTATCGGAATGTGATTGATTTTTCTTAAGCGCCTTATATTTTAAAATTCGCATTGCATTCAATGACATTAAATGACTTGGTTCTTTATCTCCATATTGCATTACTTGTTTAGCTTCAAATCGCTGTACGTAAGCTGCAGATTGGTTTTCATATACCAATTTTGTTTTTAGTTCCTTTCGTTTTTCTCCTATTATCCTCCGTTTTTTATTACTGTAACAATCTTTGAACTTTCCTTGGTACATACAGTCTATAATAACTTTAGATGCAGGTTCTGGTTGGTTTAAAACTTCACCATAAAAATCACTTAAACATACACAACATTTACCTTGTATTTTAAGAAATATTTTGCCGTTTGGATTGACTTTGGCATTTTTATAAGTTATAGTGCATGGAAGTTTATTTAATGCATAAAAATGATCATTGATTAATTGGGACCATTCAAACGACTTTAAAGTCTGATAAGATCGATGATTATTTTTTCCATCAGACCTTTTATAAATTTGTATTTGCTCGGAATCATAAATATTTAACCATTCTTGTCTCGAAAGTGTGATTTTAATTTTAATTTTTTTACTAACTCAGAGGATCTATCATCACTTTCAGAATATTCGTAAGAAGATTCAACTGTATTTTGATTTTCAACAATAGGTACTTTGATTGTATTTTGAAATTTTGTAAAAATATCATGTCGATTTTATTTTAAAATTAAATATTAATATTTTGGAGAGATATTGAAGTTGATTTGTTTTTTTTAATTCATTCCAACATAAATGGTTAGGACTTCTTAGTTTTTTGGTTTCCTTATCAAATATATCAACTTTACTATTTATCAGGACATTAAGAATCTGGTCAAAATCTAAGCTTGAAGTAGTCGGCATTATGAAATACTTGTATTCAGGTAACCTAATAAATTATATTTATGAATAAATTGGCTGTGTAAAATATTTTTGTTTATTTCAATTAAAAAAATTGCGTGTAAAGTAAAGTAAATATAAGTTTCCTTGATATGGATCAGTTTAAAAAAAATTATTTCTTTTTATTTTGATAGACAGATTGATAATTACTCACATAAATTTAAAGGTCCATTTCCCCAGCCCCGCCATATTGGAATTTTGAAATTTTTTTTTTTTCATTCGATTGTACTACGTTAGTGCCGTTTGTTCTACTAGGAACCCGTTATATTGTAAATGCACTTGTATTTATCGCTATAGATTTTAAAATACTCTGTAGCTTACATCACTCGACGAATAACATGTCGTACTTGAATTTCAACCACTTCTCATGTCATGCCTCGTTCATTCACAAACTTAAATCATATATAATACACTAATATACTAAATCGTTACAACCGCTAAAACCGGAATTTAATTATACATTTAATTTACATCGTATCTAATTTACAGGTATACCGAAATTTTACACCAGTATTATTTTTAATTTTAAATTACACACAATAATAAATATTGATCATTATTAATACACGAAAGTTACAAAAACCATTACGGCGCATCATCAAAAAAGTAAAACCATTTTGTATAAGCTTGTAATCAAATGACTTATAATCAGTAAATAACACTGTCTTCTCCGCTTCTAACATTTAAAATGTACAATAAATATAATATTATTTCATTACAGTATACTCTGAATAAGAGTAAGACCAGTACTCAGTGAACAAACATCGACGGAGTTCATTCACCCACGTTCTGTCCACCATGAATAACTGCTGTCGTCGCATAATGGGTACGCATACATCTCTCGAACTTTGATGATAATCCAATGGTCAACAATGCACGTCCGATCACAAGATGGTTGGACATCACTTAGGTGCTCATTGCATATGCGCGATCTTGGTGTAATCTTATTCCGTTAGAGATGTACAAAATTACCTACATTGTATGTAATGAACAATGTAATAACAATATAATAAAATATTAATTTAAAGTTTATACATTTATCTGTTGTCGTGGATTGAATTGATGATTTGTATCACATCAGATTTTATTCTTCGAATGAAATTGTAATAGTATGATTGAATAAGTAGCAAAAGCAGCGACTGCCTTTAAAACGAATAGTGAGAACATCAGCCAGATGAAAATGCATTTTTATCAATTTTCATAATTCACGGACAAGCAATCTTATTTATTTTGAAAAATTTGCGATAGCTGCTTACCGAAGTGAAGAGGTTATTATTTAGAGCGAAAGTTTCACAGATCGTAAATTGAATTGAAGATATAGATAGTTGGTTATGAAATATGTGTAGCTACAAATTAGGTAAACATAAAATAATGAAATTTTATTTTACTTTATTTTATTAACATTGAAAAATCTTACCTCTTCTTTCGTCTTAACATCTAAAAATCGATTAGTCATTTCTGCTACTATCTTTTTAGTTTCTAAGGCCTATAAAAAATAAAAACAACAGTAAATCGATAAAAATATAAACTACACAACCGGAAAAATAGTTTTATTAATCTTGAATACTAATAAATGTATCAGTTCAGTAAATTACTAATATTTTTGTTAGAATTTACGTTAAAACTAAAATAGATTAAAAAGAATAAATGATTCACATACGTGTATTTTAAAAGTAAAATAACAAATTTTAAAAGTTCAAAAATATTGATCTTCTTTATTCATTTTTTGTTCTAAATAGTATATTTATATTTCTACTAAACAATAGTTTATATAATCGAAAATGATTTACCTGTTTCGTGGTATTGTGTGCAGTAACAACGATTATTAGGAACCTAAAAAAATGTTGCATCATCCAAATGATGAACATCGCAATTGATCTAAATGTTGTCCGTTCTTCAAGACCACTCGTGTACGCATGAAGCACTTCAGAGTATACGTCGAATAACGTTACTATTAATATATTCATCATGGACAGACCCATTGTGACCCCAAACAAATCGTTGAGATCGTTAACAGCTTCACGGGTCAACCAGTGTTTGATTCTCAACAGCTCCACAATGTTGGCCATCGGACATCCTCTTTGCTTTGAACTGTAAAAATCTTTTTCGTACACAATAACACTCGACGACATGGTATTATTGTCATTAACTGCGACTGCAGGCGATTCGTACTCTGTCCATGAATATTTTTTATTGTGCTTGTGATTCAGCTCAACGTTCAGTATTTTCAGTTCTTCATTAATACCTCGAAAATTCGAGTGTACTACGAAACACTGAATGGCGAAATGTAATTCGGAGAAGCATGAGCTCAAGTTTTGAATATAGTAAAGAAGAATGAACGTCGTCATTAAAAACGGTTTTTCGTGGTTGTTAAATATATTCCACAGTTTCAGACCGTTCACAGGCACGATAATTATCACAGAAAATATTATGGACGAGTACGAAAAACATTTAATACGATTCCAGGAGTCAGTGTCCATCGGTATGTAAATCTGAAAACTCTCTAAAGTAATCTTGTACTTTTTGTACTTATGTTTCATGTTGTAAAACACAATTAAGCTTGATATAACTGTACCCAATGCGGCCGCAGCGTTAGTCAACGCCGAGAAAGATATAGACAACACTTCGGACCAGTCGTCAAACTCGTGAGTTACCAACGGTATCATAGCCAAAGAGCACAGACCACTAACGAGTAATAATAATGTATACAGATTATGTTGTACACCGTTTTCATATGTTGAATCGAAGAACATCAATCCAACAAATCTCAAATTTGACATATCGGTAGTCCACGAACAATGTTTACGTGCCTTAACAATAAACACAAAACAAACATTATTACGAGACAAACAAATAGCAAAATAAATAACTATAAATGGGGGGGGGGGGGGTAACTTTTTCAAAATCATAAAAAGATAATACACATTCAAAAATAATAAAAATAAACTATTATTTAGAATTGGAACTTTATTAATTGTTGTTAGTTCTTAAAATTAAATTAAAATTAATCACATTTGTTTTATTATATATATGCTAATTTATAAATAAACATGAAGAACCTAATCTTGATAGTTTTTTTTTTTTTAGAGAGGTCATGAACCCCTGGATCCACTGGATATTGATGCTTGTAAATTGTTAAATAGTTTAAATATATTCTTAAAAAGCTAAACAGAAACAACGTTGAACTATTAACTTAATTAATTACTAAATACTTTTAAAAATGAATATATTTTGACGATAACAATTATATAAGTACCTCCGAATCTGCTCATTTAAATATCTCACAACAGAGAAGAAATATAATAAATATAAAAATAAATTTTCTATAAATTAATAAAAAATTAAACAATATCATTGTAATTTGAGGACGGGTAAAGTGCAATTTCGCATTATGGTTTAAACCGAATACTTAACTAAACGTTTAATTTTGACCACAACAATGGTTTTATAAATATACATTGTTCCTCATAAAAAATTAAGCATTGGTTATTATTTTTATTGGTTATAAAATATGAATATTATAACATAGTTAAATATTTTGTTTATCCATCAAGAATACAACACATATTATTTATCATACAGACACGTCAATTTAAGGAACGTCAAAAATAATGATTCAACAATGTAGAACCTTCATATTGTATGGTCCAATTAATGTTTAGTACATACAGATAATCAACTTAGAAACCAATTTGTAGTATAAATTATGATCAAACAAATATTAATAATTCTAATTTTATTTCAATGACGAGATTCGTTATGTTTTCATAGTATTTATAGAATTAACATTTTTCATTACATATTAAATAAAATAGTCTTAGTCACTTATCGAACATTTTTCTGAAATACAGAATGATTTTTTAAGCACTCTCACACTTGCCTTACACTTAAATTATGCATTTTTTCAAATTCTGATTTTTGGAAAATGTAAGTGTACTACAAGACTACATTTTTCAATATATACAGTTTTTGTTTCTCTTATGCAGTATCATATGGTAATGTCAAATTTTGTTTTTCAAATAGCAATTCCATATTTCTGCAAATATATTTCTATAATCTTAATTATTATCTGGAATCGTAGACATTGTCAACATTTTGGCCAGTACCTTCGGAATTATTTAAATTTAAAGTTGCGTATGAAAAGTATAAATAAATTATTTAAAATAATTAGTATATTGATGTTTTATTTTGTAGAATACGTGTACTGTGACAAGCATTTGGATTAAATTTGAGTTATCTCGTAAGATGAGCTTTAATTCCAGTAATTTTTCAAATGCAATGACTCTTTATTATTTACAATAGTGACGTTTTCGATACCTAGCGACTTATTCAAACCTTTTCACTTATCCTGTATGTGGTAATTTTTCATTTTAATTATTAAAACTCTTTTCAACACTTTTCCACAAGACTGATTTATTGCAATCTTTTAACATCATTTATTATATTCTTTACAATACCAAAAATTGTGTTTAGCATTAAAGCGGTCATCAATAACAAGATAATATTTAGTTTTATTTTAGTAATCTGTAAACGTAGCATTCGAGATATTACGACGTGAAAAAGGATAACAAGCACCACCAGCAATGAATATGTTTTTAGTTTCATTATCATAATATATGATTGAATATAACCATCGGAACAGAAAATGGTAAGTGATTGAATTGTAGATTGAATTTTTTTAAGAATGTTGCAATACTATCATATGCTATACTATCCATGTAATTTCTCTTATTAACTTGTATCTAAGGATGAAAATATGTGTATATTTGATGAAGAGTGTTTCTGTAATAATTATCATCAAATACATCTTAACAGGTTATTGAGGTGCACCTATACCAGGGGTCGGGAACCCGCGGCTCTTTGGATAAATGTCAATGTATCGAGATTCGTAAATTATAAATTATATTATACCTGCGTTATTATAGTGATAATAATTCTGAATTTCTTAATAACGATTTTCAGGTAAAAATAAATCAATATTTTAACTTTAACATGGGTCGGGAATGTTTTCGTTTTTATTTATTAATCTTATCGCACTATTAGTTTTTTTTTTTTTTTTTTTTTTTTATTAAACAAATGCCTCGGCGACTAGGGCCATTGGCTACAAGTAATTACATATTATTTACATTAAAAAGAGGGATATTGAATATATATATAGATATAGTGACAAGTAGTTCAAATTAATAAATAGGACTGTGTCTAGATTTAACATTAATACATTACAAGAGGGTATACAATACATTTAAAGAAAATATTATTCTAAACATTTTAAATTTTTTTATGAAGTTCTGTGTCTCTGAGGAATTTTAGAACATTGGTTGTATCGATGTTAAGGTTTTCAGCAATATGGTGGGTTAGATTATATTTTTGACGTTGTAGTTCATACTTTCTGCAATCGTTGATGATGTGTTTAACTGTCATAGGATCGTTGCAGGTAGGGCATATAGGTGGGTCTTCTTTCTTCATTAGGAAAGCATGAGTTAATCTGGTATGGCCTATTCTGAGCCTATTGATGACTACTTCTTCTTTCCTTGTGAGTGTGTTGTTAGGCCAAGGGAGAATATGATTTTTAATTTCATTTAATTTAGTATTAGATGATTTCCATTCATTTTGCCAGATATTGAGGATTGTTTTTTTAATTATTTGTTTGATGTCGGCAATTGAATACACTTGACATTGGATTGCATTTGGTGACACGATGGCCTCTTTAGCAAGTTTATCAGCTCTTTCATTTCCACTGATATTTGTATGGCTTGGTATCCAGATTATTTGTATGATGATGTTTTCTTTTTGTAATGTATATATTTGGTTCTGGATTCACTATTAGTTTTATTGTGTATAATATACATATATAGACAGAACACACACATACATATTATATTATAATATACATGTATGTGTTCTATTTATTAAACTCGACTATCATTATTCGGTAGAATACAAAATTATATTGGTCGATACGTGAGCACGGTCCTCGTCAGGTCAATTTAATCAGTGCGACGTTGTTCAGTATTTTTTTTTTTGTGCTTTTTTCCATTAGGTATTTCTATAAACTTCAAGATTTTTACAAACAAAAAACGTAAAATTGAAGAGGAAATAGAGGATTTAGAAATGAGTGGACTGATGCTTATGCATTTGTACAGAATACCATGGGACAACCAAAATGTCTCATTTGTGACGAAAACTTCAAAAACAATAAAAAATCGATAATTAAACGTCATTTTTTATCTAAACACGATTCTTTTGGTAAAACGTACCTAGCTGTAAATGAAAGAAAAACAGCAGTGGCCGAATTGATTTATAAATCTCAACAATCGATAACTAAATTTAATAACTGGTTGCAGTCAGCGTATAATTTGGCTGCAGCTAGTTTTGTTGTATCTCACAAAATCATGAAATCTAGAAAACCGTTCACTGATGGAGAATATATTAAAATATATTTTATTGGTATGTCCGAACATCTCTTTTTTTTAATTCAAAAAATAAAACAGAAATAATAAATAAAATAAAGGATATTTCGTTATCGGCAACTACTATTCGTGATAGAGCTGTTAGAATGGCTGAAAATGTCACAGAACAACAGTTTTCCGATTTGAAGTCATCTCACCTGTATTTTCCTTAGCTTGTGAAGAATCATGTGACGTAAAAACATCGCACAACTCACTTTAATGGGACAGTATGTTTCATCTACGGGTGTTCATGAAGAATTACTGGGTTTACTACCGCTCAAAGGCCAAACTCGAAGAGAGGACATTTGGTGTTAGGTTAACCTTTTTTTTTTTTTGTAAACCGCTACACAGGAAGGGAAGTAGGTTTTTCCATTACTGTCTCTTTCTGATTACGGTCTGAAACTGTGGAATATATTTAACAACCACGAAAAACCGTTTTTAATGACGACGTTCATTCTTCTTTACTATATTCAAAACTTGAGCTCATGCTTTAGTGTTAGTAGATCAGCAGTTTGATCAAAGAGACATCATCCTCGAAAACCGAAGTAACTCACTTCACCGTATCAGTGAGATACATCGAGCATA